TTTGTTTTTTTTTTTTTTTTTTTTTTTTTTTTTTTTTTTTTTTTTTTTTTTTTTTTTTTTTTTGAACCTGAAAGTAAGGGAGAGCCAAATAAGAACAGATGGATTCGCGCGTAAAAGAGCAACGCAATCAAGCCTCCACTTTCTCTCCGTTCCAACTGAAAAAAAAAAAAAAAAAACCGAAAAACTCATGGGGTCGGAAGCGGCAAGGTCGGCTTTAAGTTCCCAAAGTGAATTTAATTCCCAACGGCAGAAAACTGGGGGCGCGATCCCGCTCGTTATGCGGTATCCACTTTTCTCGCGGTCTCGCGCCAAGAGCCTCAAATTGCAGCGACGTGGTTCAAGGGCTAAACACTGCGAGTCGTTTGTTCTCCGGAGCGCAAACCCAGGAAAAAAATGGGTTAAGCCGACTAAGTGAAGCGCTCGAGTCCCTCGAGCTTCTCTTCCCCCTATCCCGTCCCACCCAACGGCTTCAGCTCGGCTAACGACGACTAAGTCTCTGCGTGCGCGCGCGCTCCACTCCATCGGCTTCTTTAAAACAAATCCATCTCACGGAATTCCGAGAACGCGAAGGCCACGTGACTGTCCATGCCATTGCTCCGTGTCGGGTTCCCAGGATGACGGGAGGACGATTATTGGTTTAGACGGCAGCGCCTATCCTCGCCGAGCTCGATCTTCTCCTTCACGACGTATCGTCACGACCCTGAATTACGCCATTGTTCGAACGTAGCGCCGAGGCCTCTAAGAGCTTTGAGAAGTGGCCAGATTCTACAGGCGTGACCCCCTCCCTCTCCCGCCCTCCGGCGATCGACCAATACTCTCGGCCCAATTGGCTACTTCTCGGAGCTTAGTGACTTTGGTAATTAGTCTCGACCAATGTATCGTGAACGTGTCACGTCCCGACTGCGCCACACACCTGGTTACGTGCCATTCCCAGCAGCCGCTGGAGGTATGCTAATCTCGGGCTAAAGTCCACCGATTGAACTTGCGATGGGAGATTTATAATTCCCAGGAATAATTATTGGTCGGGGCTGCTCGATGGTGGCAATAGCGAACGTTCGGTCGAATCGCGAGTGCTTGCGTAATATAATGCTAGGGGATGAAAGGAACCGTGATGGATTCCTAATTAGCTTGGTGAACCACCTGCAACGCCGCCCCTGTCTCCACTCGCGACACGAATTCATCATATAAATTAATATGAAAGAGACGATAAGTTTACTCGGACGGAGGGCGCATTCCAAATTCATAGGAAATGGTGCTTCGTTAGGAGAAGACAATTTAATCAACGCCGAGAAAAATTCAATTGGACTCGGTCATATAAACAACGATCCTATTGCGTTGCGCGCATACCGATAGATTTCTTTTACTTTCCTTTACTTTTTCTGTTTTTTTTTTTTTTTTTTTTTTTTTTTTTTTTTTTTTTTTCGTATCGTTCCCCATCGCCCATCGCCCATCGCCCAGCTCCCCGGGCTACTTTGCCTCCGTAAATACGTCGACTATTTATCTTCGAGTTATTACGAGTGACAGCCAATCTTCGAATCTTAGGAAATTCGCCGACGAAACGAATTGTTGAATTTTTTGTGATCGATTTGACCGATCACTACTGGCCCATAAATTCCCTCGTTTGCGAGCGACAAACGAGACCGAAGGCTCGTCAAAATGCATCTAACGCAGGCTTGGAAAACCTATCCTCTCCCGCACGGCTTGTAAGCTCCGCGCGGAGGTCGGCAAATTAGAAAATTTCGTGATTGGCTCGAGCCGGGCGATGACTTAATTGCATCGGTCATCACGGATTTAGCACGAGGTGGCCAGGCCATCCTTCGAGCCGACTTCGTTATCCTTGGTAAGGGCAGACCTCCAGGTTCCTCTTTTCACATTATCAGCCAAACGCATGACCGACTGCACTACAGCTCGCCATTTGCTTACCCATTGTTGCTACTAATTATTATTTATACTTATTAATTTTTACGCGTTTATGCATTATACGCCGTTATTTTGCCTCTATTATACGTGATTATGTGGCCGGTCGTTATTGTTTTGCCGTTGTTACGACCTGGCCTGTTGAGTAATTTCCAGAGACGGGTTCCTCGTTCCTCAAAAATACAAGTACAAACAATTGCCAAAGAAAGTATAATTGACTTCCCATTGAAATAATATTCATTACAGTCATCGTATTGCAAATTAAAAAGCTTCGAATGTCTCTTTCATTTCTTTGGAGTTGAAAAAACAAGGCGTGGCAGGGGGCGGGGGAGGGGGGGGGGGGGGGGGGGGTTGGAAAGAAAAACAAGAAGAGAAACGAATAATGATGTATTAAACAATAAATAAATGAATGAAAGTAATGTTTCTTCAAATATTTCTAAATGTACGTGTGCACTTCTATTCTTCTATTTTCAAAACTATTTGTTTTTCTACAAATATTTGAAAGGGGCATTGATAAATTGTCCGACATCGCCGACAAATTAATAACTTTCAAACGATTCTAGAATTTCAAACTTCAACGAGCGTGAAAGGACGTGATCATAGCATAGACTCGCTCCATCCCTCTTCTCATTGGCTAGGCGTTACGAAATTCACAACCACTAGGGGAAATGATATTTAATTTGGAATGAATCAACAGTACTAATAAGTGTCTACGCGTATTTGCGAATGAGAGGATTTTTAATCGATCGAGCTTTCTCTTTAATTTTCTCTGTATATTCCGTCTCTATCTTGAAGTGCAAACGCGTTGCAATATTAACTAGGAGATTTCTATCAATTATCGTTTTTGAGTAATAGACGTGACAGACCTTAACGGTCTTCTCCTCGAATTATTGATAAGATGTGCTATATTGCAATTTTGACATTGACATGGATATTTATAAATTACGTGGCAGAAAAGCTTACACAAAACCTGAGATTTATCACGAGATTTAATGAAACAATATAATAAATTACGGCATAGCTTACGAAGCCATACAGCATGACTTTCCATGAATAAAAATCATGAATTAAAAAAAATATGAATAATTTACGGAAATACTGATTGGCCCTTCATGAATCAATTTGTACGGCTGTAATCACAATGCACTTTATGCATTGAAATTGTACGTGCTCGGATTGTTTTTCCTTGTTTATATTTTCTTTTTCTCTTTGTTTGATTTGTTTCCTCCTCCTCCTCCTCGTCGTCGTCGTCGTCGTCGTCGTCGTCGTCGTCGTCGTCGTCGTCATCGTCGTAGTCGTCGTTATTGTTGTTGTTGTTGTTGTTTTGTTTTGTTGTTGTGGTTTTGTTTTGTTTTAGATTTTGATAAAATTTCTAATGAAAATACAGTGTATTAGCAAAGATTAATTACCTTATAAATATACGATGCAATTAATTAAATTTACCACGTTTACTAGTTTTGTTGAAAAGAATTGTAAAAATAATTTTAAAAAAAAACTTTGAAAGTATTGTGCATGTGTAATATAATTATAAAGACATTTTAACTAATTATAAATTAAGGAATCTTATAAATTTTTAAGCACGAGATTTATTAGCATTGCTCCGCTCTTCACAGCATTTTGATAAATCTATTCTCGATATATATATATATATATATATATATATATATATATTACTTTCACTAACTGGAATGTAATATTATCTTCATATATTCATCTGGGTCTACCTAAAAGCTTATTACTTTCCAATTTTCTCGAATGAAAATTTTATTTGCCATTCTCTAATTTTCCATTTTATGGAAAATATTCAATCCAATATCAATATTAGTGTTTTCTAAGCTTCGATCCAAATATTTTTCGATTATTTTATCTGCACACTTTCTAAATTCCTCGCGATCGGCCTTTGACGAGGAAGAAACTCATATATTATGTCTATACGAATTTCTAAATTATTAATAAACATTTAAAAATATAAATTTTAAATAAAACACGAGTATCGATTTAGGAAAAATTAAATTTTCACTTATGTTGAAAATGCAAACTTAAATTAATTTGAAATCGTTTTGAGACTAATTCATTAACAATTCTTAATGATGCCTCCGTATTTTCCGTTTTGTTTTTAAAAATATGACGAATTCCCATAAAACTCGTAAAATTTTATTCCACCGATATAACGTAGAGAAAGAATACATTTTATTTTACCAGCTAAAAAGGAATAAATAAGCTTATTGCATTTTCTTAGCACTTTGTACGCAAAATAATAAAGACGATGAAAAGGCTCGATGGTTACAATGTCTCCTAAAAAAAAAATATAACATTGAGGATATTTTAATGACTCTGATTTAATTTATCATTTTTTATGAACAAATTGTGTCCACAAAATAACTTTATAATGCATTCTTCGGCATGGTTGAATGATGGGCAATTTTAATTCGCTGAAAATCAAAATGTAAACTCACCGAACGGTTATGACAAATCTACAAATTTGGACTCTGTCCAACATCTTCCTTATAAAGTTAAGGATTATATTTGAAATTTGTAAAAATTACATCTGATTCAGCTTTCATTCAAACGTTACAATAAAATTTCACTTTAATTTAGAAATATTTTTTTAAAAAAATTGCAATAGGACTTTCTAAAATGTTGGAAATAAGGAAATCCGACTGGAATCTTTCAATGTGAAATTGCTTAGTAAAAGAACTTTTGGCATCGTTGGACTAAAGATACAGATTATCGTATCATTTATTAATTTTTTATTTTCTTTTTGGCGCAATTTTCGTTCGTTTATGTATAAAATCGTCGCTCGCATAAGTTGAAAATAATAATTCGAAGCGCATTAAAAATTCATTCTTATTGTCAAGAAGCATTCGATATTTTTAACAAAATTCATGCAATGAATTTAATAAAGATTAACAAACTTTTCAAAACTGTCCCATTGCATGTGGTTTTGCGAAGGAAATTGCACAATGAAATTCTAACCAAAATGAACTTCTAAAGAACGACTGTGTCAAAAGAATGTATTCATTTTCGCAATATTTAAGGTCTTGGCTTTTCGGCCTTCCCACAAAAGAAAAACTCCGAAAGCTTTATTTTAATAAAGCGACTATTTCAAGGAGAGAAAAGTTGAGTAAAAGTGACGAATGAAGATACACGCGACACTGAATATCCAGCAGTAAAAGAAAGACGAGTAAAGCAAGAACATCCTCTCATTTATTTCTTTTCCGTTCGTTTGTCAAACTTTTTCTATCGATTTCAGATTAAATACGTCCTTTATAATTGAACTAGCTCCTTCGTTTCCAGTGGTGGAATATGATTTTATTACTCTATCGCTTAATGCGGAATTTCATCAACGCCTTGGATCACCACCACTAATGCATTTAATTTTACGCTTCTTCGTCTTGCGCGCCATAATCCAAGAGTGCCGTAACTTAATCGCCCCCAATTGAACCGTTAAACCACGAGAAAAAGTACGGCCGCGTTAAATTGCTCCTTAAAGCGCAAAATAACCAATTATTTCTAAGTGGAAAATAACCACAAAGACAATAGTAGCAGTTGATTTGCCGAGGTCATGCGCTTACTTTTGAAATAACCGAGGCACGTGCACGACAGGGTATTGCCAGCTTCGTCTCGCTATCGGCCGAGTACAACATTTGCGTGGCCGTGAGCGAGAAGATCATGCGGAACGCCAAGCCCGAGGACTTCGAGAGGATCGTCGAGCACCTCGACTCCAAGCGGAACGCGCGCGGCGTCGTCCTGTTCGTCGACGAGGACAATATCAGGTAAGTTGTAAAAACTTTCGTGTGTTGTGCGCTCTCTCTCTCTCTCTCTCTCTCTCTCTCTCTCGCCCCTCCAGCACGGCCACCTCTCCCCGCCCCGAACTTTCCGAACCAAAAAACCTTCCCCACTCCAGGACTCTTTACTCAAGCACCACCGTGCACTTCTTATGCGATATTACGCGTGTAAGTTTAACCTCGTGGGACTAAACCTCGGGAGAGGAGAGCAATTTGTACTATTCTCCATGTAAATGAAAATCAGGAAAATCTCACTCTGTCTTTCATTGAGCTTCGTGATCTCAGGAAGACTGGCTCGGGGCTCGCGTCTATATGCGCCTATGGAAGACGTGATTCCCCTCGGTAATGAAAGTTACCTCTCGCGAGCTCACCGAAAATAAAGAGGGTGAAGATACAGAAGGCGACCGGGTGCGGAGGCAATAAATGAGAGAGAGAGTGGTGGGAGGGGAGAGATCGAGACAGGCCAAGACCAGGTGGTAAATTTTCTGATAGAGAGAAAACGAGGTGGACGAGGGCTTAACTAGGGTTAACTCCGGTCGGGCAGGATTCGGCGCTCTCCCTCCCCCCCCCCTCCTCGCTCTCTCTCTCTCTCTTTCTCTCTATCTTTATATATATATATATATATATATATATACCTGTACCGCTATTTTATGTTTTCGACCGCTCCTCTCGATATGTCATTCCGTAAAAATGAGAGGGAGCCGAAGAGTTGTGTGTATACCCTCTTAAATAATGCGATTATTTTTCTGGCTTTACAGCTTCGGGCTACGTGGCCGAGTTTTTTTTTTTTTATTTTTTTCCTCTTCTCCCTCTCGTAACCCCGACTTCGCTCGGCTCTATCCCGTCGCCGTTCGACGCTCGTTCGTTTTTCTTACGAGAGTAGGCGGCGCCGGTAATGGTCAACGCTTTCTACCGACTACACTTCAGACCGGAGTTTCGACTCCGCTGCGAGTCAGGAGAATTATGCCCTCGAATGAGCCGAAACTTCCGCGTCCGTGTAACTATAGCAAATAAACACTCTCCCCCCGCCCCCGGCGCCGAATAGGAAGAATCAAATGCAATCCCGAGTTTTTCGCATAATTGGCGCTTTCTCGGTCAACTTTGCCGATGCGACATGGGACTTTTGTATTTCGTATGTCTGGGTCACTTTCGCTCCAAATAGCAGCGAGAAACGTTTTGGCCTAATATCCGTCTGCCTATTGGCCACCTCTTAATCACTCATTGTGTCATATAAGAAAACGATCGAATAAGATGAGGAATTACTTCGTAGAATCCTACGCTCTCCAAGAGATAATTGACAGGTCAGTTATTTTTTCGTTTTTTTCCGCTTGTTTATTAAAAGTTCCATCAACTGCCGGAATTGTTGGTAACTACTTTATCCACCCATTCGGCATGCGGTCCGTTCGAAGGCGTTAAAATCGAAGTCAACGAAGGACGCTTCGTTTGACTCGATTATTTGAAAAATCAAAATTTCTAATTTAACGCACGTCTAAGAGATGCCATGGAACAGAAATTCTTTAATTAAGCATAAGCTGACATAAGCCAATAGCTCGTGGCATCAAAGAAACCTAATGAAATGGTTGATTGGTCGAATAATAAAGCGAAATTAAATTGTTAAAAAATCCTAAAAATTCTCAATGCTAAAGTATATGTGCTATTTAGCATTGTCAATGTGGAGTATTTGTAGGCAAGTTCATTTATAAAAGCTCCCTTAAGCCGCCACAGCTACGGGATTTCCATTGTATATTCAAAATTATGTCAATTAACGAACGGCACTTATTTATCAATGTTTATTTGCCCGACACTGAGCACTTTGCAAATGTCAGTAAACACCGGTAATGAGAATTGTTTCCCCAGTTATTTTACTCACAGACCTTACTTTTTTTTTTTTTTTTTTTTGTTTTTTTAAATGACTTTTTCACTAGTTTTCCACAGTTATTTCTCTCGTAGGTTTTTCCTTCTTTAATGGCTTTGCCACTAGTTTTGCGCGCTCGAACTTTCAAGAAAATGTTCAAATGAAATTACATTCAATCTATTAAAGATAACTTTGTCCCTGACAACACGAAGCGAATCTGCCAGCTTATTTCAAATATCAATCTGTCAAATCCTTACTGAAATCTCTCGAAATTCCTTATTTCCGCATAACGCCATTATCTAGAATTACCCGCTGACACGAGCACGAAAAAAAAAGAGACGAACGACTCTTGCCGTACACGTACGTTAATGTCATCTCGTCACGGCTCACTCTCACTCTCTCTCTCTCTCTCTCTCTCTCTTTCTTTCTCTCTCAATCTAGCTCTCCTTCGCTAACTCGATTAATTCGCCCGTAGATCGTAGATCGCGGGAACACTCAGCACTCGTTCGGACACATACTCGGGCATTCTTGCGGCGCACGTAGACACCGTAATTTCGTGACTCGGCGCGTCTTCTATGGCAGCGTGAATACGAATCGGACGCTTTGAAGGGCGCGATTGACGTATCGGGGCCGCGGTGCTTTGTATTCTTCTAGGGAGATGAGAGAGCGAGAGCGAAAGGGGGTTGGATAAAAGTTGCGGTACCCGACGATTACGTGCCGGAGCGACGAGACGAACTCCAGAAGACGTTGCGTCGTTCATCATTGACCCAGCAATTCCTCACGTAATTCTTTGTGCGGAAATTCTGTAAATTCGGGAAATTCCGCGGCTCTCGTTGCGCGCGACAGCCGTCGTATGAGAATTTCATTCTCTCTTCGAGGCCGCACTTAAGTTTCATCCCGCTGGGCAAAATGGCATTCCCGCGCGACGAAAGAAAGAAGAAAGGGGCGTATGGAGATGGATTGAGAAAGCGCTGAGAAATGACAATCGCGTGGGGCAAAAATCGTGAAAGACGCGACGCTCGACTTCGTCGTCTACTTTTCCGACTTTCTATGGCACCTAAGAGATAATAAGAGAGAGCCTCCGTGCGGTTCCGTGGATAAAAAAAAAAAAAAAGAGAAGAAAAAGCATATGCCATGAGCGGCTTATTTCCATTCGATTAGCCGTCGATTAGCCTGGCAATAAATTTCGTCGTATTCTTCGCGCGAGATGACAAATACGCGGCTACATATACTATATACATATATACGGCGGAGAGTAAAAGGGGGAAGGGCTGCGCGGTAAGAAAAATGTGAGACGATCGTTTTGTATAGATGCGGAAGAGTAACTGTGGATTCGTATTTTTTCAAGCACCACGCAATGCATAATTTACAAAAACTTATTATTTAATAATGCGACATCTCAGATTTCCCGACGAAAAATCTATGTAATGTGATTTTCATTAAAAAGGAAAATTGGATGAAGAATTTAATTAAAAGCTTTTCCACTCGAGTCAATTATTTTCGCCTTTTTAAATCAGTGAGAATTCACTTTATATAACTATTCCTTTGTTATTTCGTGAATAATTTCAAGTCTACAAAAATATTATTGGAATGGATGCTGGTTGCTGGACGCTGGATGCTGTTTGTTAAGAAAGCGAAAATTGCGCTTTTACTCACAGATTTTCACTGTGAATAAAGTTGAAAATCATTTTTAATTTGTGTTTACAATACGCAGACCGCAAAGGATAAAGTCGTCAGTCGAGATAGCGAGTGAATGTTTGATTTTAATTTTTGAAATTCCTAGATATGATTATCGAGCGCAAACAAAAAAAAAACGTGATTTTGTTTTTATCGCCATAAAACACAATCGATTTCACTATCGATTTCACTTGATTTGCAATTTTTCTTCCCTATCTTCATTCATATGAACAAAAAACAAAAATATATTTTACCAAAATTTTAACAGCAATATTAAATGATATTTGCCGTGTGCTGACAAATTTTGTAGCTCAAATGTAAAAAGAAAAACAGAAATAAAATTTAAAAAAAAATACATCTTTTTTTATAAACAATATATACCGTATGATAGATACGGTATAAAAAATTTATTTACAGAAACATTACGCAACTGTCGTTTGTTTTTTCGATACATCATTATTTTTAAATATAAGCAAACATGGAATAAAAAATTAATTTACTTAAAACTTTAATTAAAAACGTTTTGTAATGTCGTCTAACTTGCCTACTTTACATCTAATTAATCGAACATCTCCTAAAAAATTATCTATCATTTATCCATTATTAACATTATTTAAACAATTACGTACAATTGCAGTTACATTTAATATTTATTAAACCAATTTTCTGCTCCATCTACAGTGTGGCATTTTCGGACGACTAGATTTCCGTTTCGTTTTTTTTTTTTTTTTCTTACAACTCTCGACACTATTCATTTTCGATACGAAGCATTATTTTTTGCAAATGTATCAAATCTAAATTTGACGTTCACGCGTACATTGGGGGGGGGCGTGACGGATCATGTATCTTCTTCATGATTCCCTTATTCCAAGGGGACTTTTTACTAATGTTGTAGCAACACTCGCCAAAGGCTGAGAAGCTATCAAAGTGACGTACGCATAATTCCACGGTGTAAAAAGAGAAACAGATAATTCGAGTCTTTGTCGTCAAAACAATAGAAAGAGGAAAAAGAAAATAATAATAATGATAATAGCATACGTCAAAACTTAAATGACTTGTGAATTATTTATTTTCATACTGTATTGCTAACACTCGTTGATAACATAGAAATAAATCCAATGAAACTCTATAGGATGAGAAAGAAAAAGAAGAAAAAGAAGAAAAAGAAGAAGAAGAAGAAGAAGAAGAAGAAGAAGAAGAAGAGACAAAGACAAAGAAGACGGTAGTCGCCGATTTACCAAGTAGCAAGTGTCTCTGTATGCAGCGACAGCAATTGCTCATCCTCTTAGCGGAAATCGTTCAGATATCTCAATTGCTTGGAATCATTCGGTCTCTTTTGAATAAAAAATATAAATAAAAATACCGGATAAGGTTGGAAGCGAGGGGCGAGGTAAAATCGTAGGGAATGAAGATAGAGAGAGAGAGAGAGAGAGAGAGAGAGAGAGAGAGAGAGAGCGAAACGTGCAGCCGAGTAATTTAAAGGAAAAGCCATCGCGCGAGAAGACTGAAATCGAAAACGAGTCAATGTTAGCGTTAGGCGGGAGGATATCGTTGGGGCAGACTAAGAGAGAAATAGAAGAGGGATAAAAGAAAGCGCAGTCTCAGGGTGCCTTGGGTAAAAGAATATGCTCACTTTGCCCAGGATTACATTGGAATCTGCACTTATTGCTGATCAAAATGAAGTTTATTTTTTGTCCCTGTATTTCTCCTCGGATAAGATCATTTGTTTTATGTGCTTTTATATGCTCGCGCGCGCGCGCTCGTGCTTATAAACCATACATGTAGTTTGCGTATGAAACCAGACTTCGACGACGACTGCACTCGAAATCGCGACTGGCTTTCCAAATAAAACTCGACTCGTCTGAGGTGGCTTCTTCGCGTCTCGGTGACTGATCGATGATGAAAGTATTCTGAAACCCAATCTGAATGTATATAACGCTCCTTTCCACGATTTTCTCGACTGAATAACCCACTGAAACTCACCTTGCCACATCGCTTGTCACATCAGAGTTCTATGCCACTGTATTACTAGTTTAAGCATGTCCCATCGTTTTTGGCGCAGATGCAATAAGCAATCGTTCGACCCAATAGGCCAATAGGCCATCGCGATTCCATCATCGGCTCGTGTTCTCATAAAACATTGACCATATGAATAAGAGACAGTAAGAGGCGAATTGATAAATCAATTTCATTTCGCTAGCTTGTATTGAACACCATTAAGCACACGCACAAGCGTATACATAAACTTAAACTTACCTCGTGGTCACATAAATTTCAATAATCTAGCTGGGCGTCCCAGTGTTAAAAGCATCGCCGTTAAAAGGTTGCGAGCAAGCATTGCAAGGGAAAAAGAAATCGACAGACATTAGTGATAATGGGCGCTTTAGAGGATCGAGTCGATAATTGATGAAGGCACGGGACGAGATGCATAATACCGCGTGGCACGCGGCCGGAAACGCAGTCGTCATTATTAAGTGAGCAAGTTAGCCGAAGCCCAATGCATTGAATGGCCGCCGAATGAAATATTCGGTCGAGGCTGTCGATCTTATGGAGATAAATGGCCGGTCGGCGGTTAGGTGGCCGACTATAGCCCAACTCGCACTACTTGGCTCTGGCGCGTACGCTCAGCAAGGACGCGTGGCGCACTTGGTTCCGATAACTAATTTATCCTTGGAATTAACAATTGAAGTTGGTGGCGACCGATGGTGGTCCCTTAATGCTTCTTCTATTAATCGCTACGATTCATCTGACTTCCGCTTGAAAAAGTAAATTTGTCTCAGGGCGCATGAATTATGCAGGCGGCGATGTATTTTTAAGGCCGCGGAATTTGGCCGCTCTACAACAATAATTGACCTTGATAAAGAAAATAAAATTCAGCGGGTATTTGATTGGATCTAATGTTTAAGCTCCGATGACATTTCGTCATCATAATCATTGAACGAGTGTAAAGTCGAAGAATTTTCCATCATTCTAAGAGTTTTCGGGGAAAATTTATAATGGCAGCGAGCGAATTGAGATGCGCGGAAATGGCAAAAAGTAGTTTCCATTTCAATTAGAAACTCATTGAAATGTAAATTTACGCTGTACATCTTGAGAATCGTGATTTCCCTTAACAAGCATGCGTTCGCAAATATTTTCTCATTTTTTAGCAATCCTTCCGATTGCAACAAATTAATTCGAAAATTTCGTCCCAATAGATTATAAAAGTCTCGGAGGGAATGCTAATGTGGATGTGAGGAGAAAGGCTTTTCGTAGAAATGATATATCAAAAGGATAATTAAGAGCTTAATGGACGAAATTAATCAACTACTTCGAATCAATCAAGTTTCGCGCTTTTACTGCAAAAACTTGCGAGGCGAATTCGAAAGCCCTTTAAAAAAGTATCTAGCAATTTAGAAAATAGGAGGAAAATAAATAAGTTACAAGTAAAAACATTTATTTAGGTAAGTGCTTAAAAGATCTGAAGCACTTTTATAGTTCGCTTTAAAAGTGGTAAATAAAAACAGTGGGCGAAACAGGAGCTCGTAAGTATTCCGTAAAGGTGCTCAGTAAGCAATGAAGGTTAAATTGCGTAGCAGGAAAGAAATCATCATCATCATCATCATCATCATCTCTCTCTATCTCTCTCTCTCTCTCTCTCTCTCTCTCTATATATATATATATATATATATATATATTCATCCCTATACTACGATTATATCATAGTGTTGCTTGTACGGTCCTCACGAACCGTATAATTTTAATTTTTAAAAATCCTTTAGGCTCCATCGAAATTTATTCGCGACTTTAACAAGTTCGACTAGAGTCACATGTATTCTTGCCGTCCATTCGTTGTGTAAAAATCGCTGGAAAAGCATCGGGTAAGACCCGTGATCGGCGAGCTGGAAGAAAAATCAGATAAAACGAAAGGAGCGCTATGATGTAAAGTGCGTTAGGGTTTGGCGGGGGAGGATTCGAGATGGATCCCTCAGGATAAGATCGGCACGTGGCGGGTAGAATTATACCTTTCGGACGAACGGGCTAAAGTTTTTTCGCTCGGCAAGGAAAGAGGATACGCTCGCCACGCCGAAACCCGATAGCTGACGGAAGCGTGAGAAGTTGCACGCACCACCACGGGAGCGTATATCTAGGGGATGGCTAGTAGGAGTTTAGTACTCTCCTACCAAATCAGCGGGGCATTCCGACTGATTTATGTCTAGTTAGAAGAAAGGTAAAAAAGATCGGAGGCGCTCTCTAAGTAAGAAATAAAATGATGCTTGCGAGGCCGAGCACGTCCCAGATGAATTTATGTCTCCGAGTCGGGAGAAGCTCGGATGTCGCGAAGCAGTTGAGAGTGAGAGTGAGAATGAGAGTGAGAGCGCGAGGATGGGGTGGGGTGTATGAGGAGAGGAAGATGTAAGGGCTGCTCGGGGAATGGAGTGACGAGGGGCTCGGATGATGCCATTTGTTCGCTATTATCGGAGCTCGATTAAATAAGCGAGCGGAGCGCTGCGTGACGAGTGAAATCGCTTTTGCTTGTTATTCCAGGAAACTGCTGCAGGCAACGATTAAGGCCAACAAGACGGGACACTTCACGTGGGTCGGCAGCGACTCCTGGGGCGCGAAGGTCCACCCCGTGCGCGAGCAGGAGTACGCGGCCGAGGGCGCCATCACGATACTGCCTTTCCGCAACTCCCTCGAAGGTCGGTGGAGCTTTATATTATCAGCCGTTGGACCTATCGACACGGCCGTTTTCGATTCTGGGTCAGACCGTGTTGCATAAGATACCGAAATGAAGTGATAATACGTACGGTCGGCTCGTCCCTACTTCAGAATATCGGAATTTTATTCTTACAAAGGCCTACCTTTCGAGACAATTATTAAAGTCATATAAAATAGTCATACACGCGAGTACGTGGGCGTGCTCACACACTTGCGCGTAGTTGCGCGCTCGCGTGCGCGCGCTTGTGGGTGTGTACGTACGTACATATATATATATATATATATATATATATATCGTTTTTCTTATGCATGCGCGTGGTTTAGCGTGCATGTGTGTACGTACGTATGTACTTATGGATGTATGCATGTACGTGTGCATATATGTGGGTGTTTTATTGCGTATGTACGTACGTACGTAGGTAGGCCTGTATGCGTACATAAATGCGTGGATGAATTACATCTATCGTGACGTGACGAAGGACGTATAAATTTCAACTTGAATATTGCTTTAACATTGTGTCTCCTCCTCACTTACATCACGCGTTATTTCATTGAAAAGGAAGTTGTTAAATTTACGACTTTTGAACGAGCGATAAAAAAAAATAATCAAGTATCAATCCTTTCGATTATCAGTTTTTAAAATACCAAAAAGTTTTATTATTATGTATAACTCAAGCTGTCAATGCTCTAAATATAATGCACACAGGATGCCAAGTTCTTCATTCTTGAATTATTTGAATATTCGGATATTCGAATCTACGATATAACTCGGTATAAGGAGGTTTCATTGCTATATCCTCATCATAGTTTCAGTCATGTAAAACATCTAAATACCTTTAGTCTTCGTTTCACCCTGATTTCTCATTACGAATAAACTCAACTTAAATGTTATAATGCTTCAAGCTGTCGGAAATATTCAAGCTGTAAAACTAAAATGCTTTTCAAGATATTCCACGTTAAAGTAAAGGTGAAAAATTTATTCGACAGCGAGTAATAGCTGAAAAATATGATTGTTCTTTTTAAGAATATTTTGACATTAATAGTTGGCATGAAATTGTGAAAAATAATTTAACCTCTAGTGAACTTAAAATTAATGATACGTCAAATGTAAATACTCGTTCTAATTATTATTTGTTGTCGCAAGCTTGTGGAATTAGAATTTAATATTATTATTTTTTTCGCAAAACTAATAACGTCAAATTTTTGCCATTACTCAGTCAAATAAGTTTTCTTTCTTTTATACTCATTTTTTTCACTCATTAAAATAAGAAAAATGATAATTACTATTACATCTATGAAGAAGCAAATTAAAAAATGTAAAAATATATATAATTAAGCTGTCATGTTAAACGAAATTACAAAAATTCAACATTAAATACCTTAATTATTTTCTTGTTAAGTCAACGTTAACATAGTTCATACAATTTATGTACTATCGATCATATCCAGCTAATCCAGTTGGAGAGGTTTTTTAATTTTTCAGTCGATCGTTAATATTAGGAAATTAATATCTTTCGTTAATTTTATTTTATTTCTGTAGTAAATTTGTAAAGAGCAACAACGCCAATTCGATTGCTTGCCTTTTCAAGAGCAGCTACAAATTTTAATGAAAATAAAATAATAAATTTCAATACGAAACGTTAGTCACCTCCATCATACAAGTGAAAATCTATACGAATATTGATAGAAAAATTGGATAGGAATTACTAAAAAAAAAATTGAAACAACTTATTATGTTTTATGATGACGTCAATTGAAATAGTAAAAATACTTTGGTTACGAATGTATAATCAATGTTTGAACGCTGCTGCTATCGAAGAAAATCAAAATAGAAAATTGTGTAAAATTTAAATATTACTTGATGTTAAATGAATCAGCAATTTAAGATGTAAAATAACCACTTATGTACTTATATTATTAAAAAAATATATGATTAATTTATTAAAATGAATTCGGTAAAAATTAATTTAATCATCTGAGGTAAAATTTATTAATTTATTGAATTTTGCACGATTGTCCCTCATCGCGAATACGTATCGCTAAATTTTCTTCGCTTTTTTTACTTTTTTTTTTTTTTTTTTTTTTTTTTTTTCCTTCCCACTTCAATGAAGTGGCTAGATCAAATGTATATATGTTTTTGAACATATTTTTTCAGAATTTAAGATTCTATCCTAAGTTAGAGGCCGAGGACTTTAATTAAATGATAAAAATGTTAATAAATATTGTTTTAAATAAACCTTAGTAAAATAATAGTCAATTGGCAGAAATTAATCATAAATTTTGAATATATGCATAAACGTATTCACGAATGTACGAAGTTTGATTTATTATATTTTCAATCGAATGCGCATTTGCTTTTAGCCTTTTTTTGTTGTTGTTTGTTTTTTGTTTGTTTTTTGTTTTTGTAATGAAAAAGATAAAACTTTTATTGCTTATGTAAACCGCATCTCTATATATACTCGCGTATTCTATTAGACAAAAAAAAAAAAAAAAAAAAAAAAATAAATAAATAAATATATAAATAAAAATCCATGGAATGTAAAAGTTTTGTATTTAATTTGAAAATACCTTTAACAGGCAAATACGAAAGTTTGCGTGCAACATAAGAAATATTAAAAAGTATTTTATTTGAAATGAAGGAACGAAGGAGAATGTTTATATAATAGCTCGGCGAACGAACTATAGTTTTATAAATGTTGAGGAAGCAATGCAACCTCCAAGTTATGAGACAAAATCTAGAAATTTATAGTCCCGTACAAAACAGAGAATAAAGTCCGTAAAAGCCTCAACCATTGCACGTACAATTACAAAAATTTCACCCAGAATCCATTTTTCTTAATAAAAAGTTCGCAAAGCCACGTAGGCAATACAGGAACGCGCGGTGTCGGATTGGAGCGCCGTTTAGTTGGAAAGGATCCAATTTCTTTCTATCCTTTCAGCGACCTCTCTCCTCCTCCCCCTCCTCCTCCATTTCCCATCTCCCTCTGCCAACGTCTGCTAGCTCCCTCCCACTTCAAACCTGTCAATTCTACCCATCCACTTCAGGGCTGTTTTTAACATCTGAAAATTTGCACTCGACGCCCGTCCGCAGGCTTCGACAACTATTACAAGAGTCTCGTGCCACGCCTCGGCCGCGAGTGCGAGGGAGTACACGAGCGCAACGTCCCTCACAGCACGATACCCGGCAAGTACGTCAATTGCCGGAACGTCTGGTTCCGGGAGTTCTGGTCCCAGCACCACAAGTGCACCTTCAGCTCGACGGAGACGAGCGCGCGGCACTGCACCGGAGCCGAGGAGCTCGTCGATTACAAGCAGGAGGGCCTCGTCCCCTTTGTTGGTACGTACTGACCATTGGCTTTGCGCTGGGAAATCCCGATGAAATGGAGTTTTCACGAGGCCGAGGGTGAGTGATTATTGCGGATGCTCGTGGCGCGGTCGGCGACTATACTCTAAAGCTATTTTGCGGATTTATGCGCAACGTCGGCGTTCGGATGATATTATTTTTCGGGAGCTCGAGTATGCCGATAGATAAAGGATATTAACGAGTGAGGGGCGAGTCTCGAGCTCACAGCTAATTTATCATTTCGAACTAATTCCCAAGTCCTTGCTAAATACCTATCGATCAAATAAACTTAACTTTATAATAATAAGTTAATAAAATCGCAGACGTCGATATAACTAGCAATGTTATCTGTAGTTGGCCGGCGCGTCGCCTCAGTCAGGCCGCGGCGAGAAGTTTCGGGACGACGAAGTGAATGAGCGAGAAGCGAAAAAGGGATGCTTTATTATAATGAATCGATTAAAAACTAAGGGCAGATACGCGTAATATATTTTCTCCAAGGGTCCGTGTTCATACGGGCATGCAGCGCCGCTCGGAAAAACCGTGAATACAAAATGCCTGCTGTTACTGCAACCGCAACTGCAACTGCATTTTCACGTAAACGACATTTATTAAAAACGCAATAATAGCTTTTAGCGTGTAAAATATTTATTTTTTTTTTTGTTGCTGTCGCGCGCGTAGCTGTATTTGGAAATTTTGTGCAAGTGAATGATTATTTTTCTAATAATAAGTATGATGATGAGACTAATCGACGGAAATAGATGCTTCGACGACGTTTTTCTAAAGACTTTCTTCTGTACGTGTCGTAATCGTTATTAATCACATTCGTTATAATGGCCACAACAGACTAAGCAAGCACAATGTCGAGACATATTTTCAATTAAATTCTACATAGATAAATACATAAATATTAGACTATTATATTGTAATTTCAGAATATGAATTGTCGATATCGCCTCACGAGTATACTTGCTTCAGACTTAACTGAAGTTTGACTTTATAACTCAAGTAATAAATAAGTGAACTTAATATGCTTTTTCAGAAACTGATATTAATGCTTGATTAGATTAATTATTAAACATTTCGCTTATTTTAACGAATCAAAAATTTAAAAGGAATAAAATTGCAATTATTACACTGAGAATGAAATCCATTTAACTACATTTTAAATATTTCACTACGTTCAAGAAACGTTCATTCGTCTTAAATATGATAAGATTTGATTTAAATTTAGTGAATATAGACTTACACAAAAAATTGGTGGTATATTCTCCAAATAGAATAAGATTGAAGAGCGACTCGAAGAGAAAGAGAGAGAGAGAGAGAGAGAGAGAGAGAGAGAGAGAGAACGGAAGCAAAATTGGATTGAAAGAAGAAAATATTCATTTTCTAAGTATTAAGTTTCACATTTTGTGAACATTTTTTTCTTAATTTTTCTTACTTAAAGACTTTTCCTATAAATCTCTGAGGATAAATACGAAACTACTGTAATCATTATAATTGGTAAACAAAAACTTTAATAAAAAGAGTTACTACGAAATTGTAGTAAGCACATTGTTATTCGTACGGATATAAATAAATTCACTCAATTAACACTCACTAATAATATTAAAGCCCTATGATTTTTTGTTAAAAAAAAAAAAAAAAAAAAAAAAAAAAAAAAAAAAAAAAAAAATTCACAAATATTTGAAATTATATCAAAATATCAAAATTGCAAATGATTTAATTTCATACAATGTATTTTCTATCAGTGGCTTCAATTATATTGGAAATTCTCTCTGTTTGCGAACCGAACCTATTTAATCATTTAACCAATTCCCACTTAAATGTAAAAGGCCTTGATGATGATGCTTACGCATGCAACAAATGCTCTTTATATTCAAAAGCAAGACTTGGAGATACAAAGAGGCAAGCAACCGTCCATTGCCTAGAAATATCGAATAATTATTTCAAAATGGACTATTCACAAAGTGTAATCATATTTCCGAGTTATTTGCTGCTTTCTTAAGTAATGTAATTTACAACTCTATGATTTATAGATTAGGCTCTAGATACATAAATTTTTTAATTCACATTTTTCGTATAAATATTATATTAAACATTTTCAGAATAATTTTTTATCGGCAAAAGTTCATACTCTTAGCACATCGACACTCTATGTAATTTTCTCTTAATCTATCCATAATCTCTTCACTAACTATAGACTTTTTCTGGTTAATTTAATATAACCCTTCCTTCTTCATTTTTTTTTAGCAACGAGTTATTTTACTTTTCAGTATTCCTACTGAAATCCTATATGTTGGTCCATTATTAACCGTTGTAGCAAGTTTTTTTCTTCTTTTTTATTTATTTATTTATTTTTTTTTTTTTGAGCATGATGATCTACATAATTCAATTACCCTATTAGATAAAGTATAGAATTCCCCCATTTCATGATTATATAATACCCATATACTTCACTTCCCATATTCGCTTCTATCTCGACTATTTTCCTCTATTTTCCAATATTCTAAATTCCCATTCTTTAAATTTTGAATAAACGCCTATTCATCATGTATAAACAATTATCAGTAATATTATTGTCATAAATTGTAACTTCTAATTACCTCGCAACTATTTAACAATTTATTAAATAAAAATTAATTATTTAACAGTTTATTAGTAGATTCAAAGTTGATTAAAATACATTTTCCGAATATATGTACCTGCTCATTTGCTTTCGTATTTAATTAAAATTGCATATTATTATTATTATTATTATTGGTAGTAGTAGTAGTAGTAGTAAAAGTAGTATTAAATATTGAAATTTACTTACCTTATTACTTAATATTAACATCCAGTAAATTATATATTTTTACTTCATAATTTCGCTTACTTCCTGCAATACTTTAAAATTTAACATTAAAATCTTGAATGTTCAATTACTTTATCAATATGAACTTATTTTATATGCTTTTATTGAAACTCATTTATCTATATATATATATATATATATACAATTGAATTTCTTAACTTAATAAAACTTGGGTTTTTTTATCCTAGTATGAGAAAAATTCATCAAATAAGAAAGATAATAGCTCAATATCTTATTTCAATATGTCACAGATATTAATTCATTGTTTGTTATAAAATAGTTTCTCGTATTCTTATTGTTTATAGTCTTCTTCATTGACATTTTTTAAAGATATATTTGATTTACTATAATAAAAGTTCACTATCCAAAGGCTAAATAGATCGTATACTACTTAGTGAATCTCTCTAATTCTGTCGGTCTAACTCTTTTAATTAATGCTCAATCACTTGCCAATTTATTAAGTTAATATTTACATTAATAATCTTAATTTACAATAATAAATTAATATTTTTATTTCAAAATCTAGGTCACTCGAATACAATCCAATAAAATGTAGAATAAAACTTTCTATTATGGATTAAGTAATTATTTATAATATATTTATATATTGAATATAATTATAATTATATATCTTATAGTTAGTTTTAAATATTAATATAAACAATTGGGATGTTAATTTAATCCTTAGATTTATTTAAATTTTAACTTTATAAATTGAGGATTATAAAATAGAGTGGTAAAAAACGAAAAATCGTTTACTTAAATACAATTTCAAAAGAATTGATGAACTTTGTGTGGATTTAAAAAAAATATTCGTTAAACGGATTACAGTAAATTATGTATTATATAAAAAATAATTATAGAAACTAATAACATTTAATAATTTCGTAATGAATTTACTTACTTAATTCTGTTTCATTTACTTTTAATTTATTGAATTCTCCTTTAAATGTGCATTCTTCAAGATATTTTATCATAAAACATCTTTCTGCATATTAGTATTTATACGCACTTATATCGCACTTGTAAATATTTTATAAAGCACAGAAATAATTACCTTATCCAATAATTATGACATTTGTTGCCTTTAATATTCTTGTTTCATTTTAAACAGGTGTCTCCTTTACTATATTCTGCTATTATTTTACTCTGCTAACAATTCGCTTTTCGAACTATTTAATTAGCTTTACTTTACTGTTAACTTCATTTTTTCGCGAATCGTGCTTTGCTATGAACATATCAAAAATATTACCACTTCTCGAACTTACCTATTAATCATTTCATTATGATAAATCAACAATTGAAATAGATTAGATATAATTTGGTAACTCTAAATTATCAAATACATCAAGCATCTTTCATTATTCAGTCAAATGTTATTTCCTTTTTAATTTCCAACATACTTCTAATTTTCCTCTAATTATTTGAAACTGGAAGAAACATAATCATTGTTTTTTTCAAAATGGAATGCATAAAATTTTTTTATAAACATTTGTTTTGATGAGCAACATACACATACTTCTTAAAATATCTGACTTAATAATTATTATTTAATAAATCAATATCTTTTAAATTATGACTAAGTCATGATAATATGAAATTCTTATGTAAACCAGAAATTTGTATCTATCTTATAAATTAAATTATATCACAGATAACAATGTTATAATAATCATTTAAAGTATTGTTTTGGCACAATTACTGTTACCTTTCAGCTACAAATACATTTTTGAATAAGTTATATTTATTTTACTGTATAGTTTTATATACACACACACACACACGCACACATGCATATGCATATATATATATATTTATATACATCTACTAAAAACTTGAGATATTATTATCTTCGTTTTCATTATTATAATTGTATATATATATATATATATATATATATATATAAAATGGAATATATTAATTATCTATTACACATATAAATTTCCTTAATATAATGAATATTGTCAATAGGTGGATTGTATAATTTATTTATATGTATGCATGTACACTTGATTGAAAATTTAATTAGACTTTGATGAGACACTTATAATAGATAAGATATATTTGTACTATTTATATTTATATACTAAATCATAATTAAAAATAAATTGCGCACATAAAATATTATACAATATACAACGATAATTAATATTATATCTCGAGATACTATATATTATATAGTGATTTAATATGTTAAAATCAAATTCTAATAATTGAACAAGTTGAGACTATTATTATTATTATTATTATTATTATTATTATTATTATTTTGATCTTTCCGTAAAATGTGTAACATTTATTTACATAATTTATCGTAGCAAATTTTAAATTTTGTAATTTCCAATTAAATAACAGAGTATAAAAATATAAATTTTGTTAATTTATTCGTTAAAATATTAAATTGCTATTAAGAACTATATATAGTAATGGGAAAAATTAAAGAAAAAATTTAAAGATTAAATTATGATAATAATAATAACATCATATTGAATTGAATTTTAGATTAATTATAATATAAAATTAATGCAAATAAAAATAAACGAAAAGTGTTTGTTTAATTCTAAATCGAGTTTGAGAATGAAATTAAAAAAACATAACTAATAGCATATACGAATAACAACATAATGAAAATGTTTTTTATGCAACCGCTTACTATTGGTATAGTAAGTCAGATTTTGGACGTTTAGCATATGTGTGTGTGTGTAACATTTGTTAATAGATTACAATATACACATTACATTACATCGATATGTTATCTATTCTATGTAGAAATGCATTGGCCATAAACGTAATTTATTCATGATTGGCTTCATCGACAAGCCATACACTTTCTAAATTGCCTCCGTTTATTTAATTTTATAATATAAATACAAATTAAGTATACTTAGCAAAAAAAAAAAAACACACACACACACACACACACACACACACATGAATTATTTAATTAGGCAATATAATTATAAGTTTTACATAGAAAGTGGGAATGGCCAAACTGTAAACCATGTGTGATCCTTATCTTAAAAATAAACTTTCGGGATTTCACTATAAATTAAGCCCATTGGTGTGTACTAACTTTTTGCAGCGTCAGAGTTTGGTGTAAAGTGTTTTTTATGCTCTTTTAAGAGCGCAATAAATTTGGCTGAGGCTGAACAATGTCCGGATTGCGGTGGCACTCGCTATCAGGATGCTTAGACCGTCCAGAAAAATACATAAATATATAGCGAACGTTCAACTTTTCAACTCCAGCAGAATCAACAGTCGAGATAAAGAAATGGCCGCTGTTGATTAGGGTATTAATAAATCGCTTTGCTTTCATCCCTTAGCTATTCTCAATACATATACACTCAATTTTAGAATAGTGACAATCAATTTAGTAAGATAGTAATTATAATATGAAGCTGGAAAAGGTAAATTTCCTTCACACATTTCCCTGCCAATCCGATTAAAGTTATCCACTAACAAATCCCAATGGCTCGTACTTATTTTGTTATTTCATTTTCCGACGGTTAGCAAAATTCGAAAATGCAATCCATTAATTATATTAACGGAAATAAAAATTAAATATAATTCACGTATGGAATGTAAAGACGATTGGCTTCGATTACATACAATGAAATGAATGCTCGAGTGAGAGTCGACGAATTCAAAATTTATGCACGATTAACAATGTTTTTCATGAGTTCAGTTGATAATGAAAAATTTGATATTTTATGATAACGATGTAATTGTAGAAAATATTTAATCAAATAATGCTGTCAAAAGTATACGCGAATAAGGAATTTTTCAAAGCACAAGTAATAAGAATAATGCGAATAAGGAGAAAGAGGGAGGATCGATTATAGAAATCATCCGATTATAATCGATAGTACTAACTATGGCGTACATATGTAAATGTAATAATACAAGAGACGATTAGCCTATTGACACACAAAACTATCATTGAATTATGTTGGGAAGATAGGTGGTAAGATATAATTTTCACGCTTATAATCCAGCGAATTAATTGCACGAACGTGTGCGTAGGTACGAAGTAAAGATTTATTAACTGTGCATAGACATACGCTGTCCTTTAAAATAATACTCGCATAAAGGATATAAATCTTTGGTTATCGTTCGAAATGTGAAGGATTTTTAATTTTGAATGCTGTAAGCCTATGATGAGTGGGAATGGGGAGGGCGAAAGTGACAGTAAATGTGAGATTTGCATAAATGGTCGGCATGACGATGTCCGACAATATTCTTTGTCTGATTAAATAATGAAAATTTTCGAGTAATCTCCATAAGTATTTTCATTTTAAAGATACGCACTCCTGTCATAAATCACTATTTCGGCTAATAAACATTTCATATCTAATAAACATTCGATCTATACACACATTTTGCAATTTAACGTTTTTTCACAAAGCAAATACAGGTATTTCGACTTTCTTTCCTCTTCCCTTCAAAGCAATGGAACGCATCGTACGGTCGAACGACAACATCACTTCCACTTGATTTTTCCGCTTCCATGTAAATCAATTCTATAAGAGGCGTGTAATAATTATCACCTCTTCCTTTTTACTCTGTTCATATGCACGTGCACGTGCACGTGATTGGCTAATCAATAAATAACAGTAATGTAAAACGGCATGGACGACCACAGTAACTCTACTATCGCGCTCGAGTTCCCAATTTTTGAGTGCACTGAACCGCAGAATGCGCGTCACGTTTCCCCGTAAAAAGACGTGCAATACGAATTCACCATCCAACGTGGAATACATGAGTATGCTTGTAACGCAATCCCTTACATCCTCGACATCAAAGTCATAAACAAATGCCCGAGCATGCCGCTCCAAGTTCTCCATCGGGCATCAATTTCCATAAGTGCAATCCTAGTTGCAAAAATCTTGATGCCGCGGGTCGATAAGATCTAGGCCGATCGGGCGGCGCAGTAACTTAACTAAGCAGCGACGAACTGCACTGCTCTACTGTTCCAGCGGACGCCGTTTACGCGATGGCGCACGGGGTGCACAACGTCATCGATGACATCTGCCAGACGGAGCTCCTCGATGGCCACCACCTCTGCGAGAAGCTCAAGCCCGCGCCCCAAGGCCAGCAGCTCCTGCAGTACATAAGGAACGTCACCTTCGTTGGTGAGTCCAAGACTTTGTCAGCCACTCGTTAAGTCCAACCTCGGTTCCGTTAATGCGAAATGCTCCTTATTTACCCCGCGCTTACGTGTCCCGATTCCACTATTCGCTCGCTTAATCCTACATGCTACGATTGTTTACTCCTCGCGATATCCAATACATTGTTTACCGCATTTCGAAATAGCAGCGGGAATGCACAAACCCCTTCGTCGAGTGCCCCCCCCCCTCATCATCATCATCATCATCATCATCATCATCATCATCATCATCCAACCACCCTAGATTTATCAATTACGTCGTGTGGTCGATAATTAGGCTTTCGAACGAATGTTTGGCAAATATTGCATGAATATTCGTTTCGTTATATGGCCGTTAGTGGAGATTAGTGTAAACGGGGAGTGGAGCTTTTCGTTCATTACCATTGACTTTAACGATTTTCAATTGGACGGCGAAGTAAATTGTGCATTATCGTTGTGCGAACGAAGTTGAGACGCTTTAATCAATCGTCAACTTTCGTTTTTAGTTTTTAGTTATTGCCGAAACTGCCCTTACGTACGTCCCGACGCTATCATAACTATTTATATATAAATAACGACCGAGGCAATTTATCATATAATTTCACATTATAATTCATAGAATGCAAATGCTTTAAGCGGGGTGAGTAAGACGAGTGAGTGTACATTGAAACATTGCATACTCTATTCCTTAGTAAAGGCTTGTCTCGGTAACTCGGTTTCTTTCTTCATTCAAATGAAATTATCAAGCCAAGCAAATTCGAAAAACAAGTGACTCTCTAGCTACTCTCGCCCCAACTTTCATTTAATTCTAATGCTAATTCTAATTTTTACGCTACATTGGCTTTGAATAACGTTAATGCATCATTCAAGCAAATTACAAAGAAACGCAATTTACATAAAGATAATGGATCATTAAATTGCTATTGAGGCGCGAAGAATCAAGTGTCTCGCGTTTGAATCGATCGAATTACTTTTGTCCAAATTAAACTTTTTCATGATGTCTTTCATTTAACGAATACACAATTTCATTCAATTTCGTGTCACATACGTACGTACATTACGTTAACTCGCAAACGCGCTCGCCTACACATTCTTATCATTTAACAAAAGTAGAATAATTTTTATAATTAAAAAGAACAACTAAAGTTACAATAAATAAGAAATTTTTAAATATTTTCGTTTTTCCACGCTAAATTCTTCCTCGGAATACAAAAATAAAGTTCTTGAGAATTTTCAATGAAATTTGAATACATTTTCTAGATATTATATTACATAATATCTTAGAAAGAGCAACGCACTATTAGATTTATAGAGCGCATATTTTTTTATATACTCAAATTCGGGAATACTTTTTAAAAATCAACAGCCATAAGCGTCAGAATTTTACATTACGCCTTTAGAGTTTTATAAATTTTAAGCATTGATCTTAATTAAAGAGAATAAATAAACTTATTGCATTATTGATATCGTGATATTTTTTATGCTCCCGCAATACCATTATTAGCCTCTCTTCTTCCTTGCAACTTCTCGCATACAATAATAATTATAAATAATCGGCTGAAATCTTTTGAGTGAATTTTCGCATATCTATATATGTATGTATGTATGTATGTAGGTATGTATGTATGTATGTATTCATGCATGCATGCATGTATGTATGTATCTACTTACGTACGTATGTATGTATGTATGTGCATGCAGATTTTTTTGTTGAAAAAAAAAAAGACAAAAAAAAACAAAACAAAACAAAAAATAATAGAAGATGAAAGAAAGAAAGAAAGAAAAAATCATTTTACCGTGGAAAATCAAAGCAGAGTCCGTTTTAAATCTTTAAACCGTCCCCGCATTACGAATACCAGGAGCGTCGGTAATTTCTTCAAGGAGAATGGGAGAGCTGTAATCGTAAGTCGAGGGAGGAGCCGCCGACGGGCAGAGGCGATTCGTTCGATTATTTGTAAAATGATCGACGGATTGGCAGGCGCCCACTTTGTCCATTATTTTCAAACGTCTTTATCGAAAGAGTGGGGGGGGGGGAGGTGCGCCCATCGGTCCCTCAACAGCCACTCGTCATCGCAATGTATAACGATCGCCCGTGATGTCGTTTCTGCGCGCGCGAACGTCGGCTACGGAGCCTTGAAGAGTCGAGGCAAAATGGAGCCTCCGGGAGTCACGCGACCCTCGAAAAGTAAGCGATCGATCGGGTCTACATAGATACGCGATGCTCCATCCCTTAAGCGACTACCAGCCGCGACGAGTCCTCTGATAAATGATTGGCAACGATAAGAGCCTCCTTCTTCGCTCTATTCATCGAATCCCCAAGGTCGCCCGACGAAATTACGTGGCTCTCGGTGGAGATAATAGGACGACGGGCGTCCTTTGCTTTCAGGCCGGCAAGGAACGGAAATTAAATTCAACGCCGACGGCGACGCTTACGGCTATTACAACATTTATCAGTACCAACGAGGCGAAGATGGCCGCTACAATTACACGCTCATTGGTTCCTGGAGGGAGAGGTGAGTGCTAATGTCCCTAGCCCCCCCCCTCCCCCACGTCTACCTTACCCTTACTCCTCCTCCACCTCCTCCTCCTCCACCTCCTCCTCCTCCACCTCCTCCTCCTCCACCTCCTGCTTCCAAGCAATCGCGTGAACGAGTGAGACAGCGTACGTTAATGCCGCAGGTTGGACCTCGTGATAAACATGACGCAGTGGGTGACGGGTACGGGGGAGCAGCACGTGCCCAGGAGCATATGTAGCGACGACTGTCCCCTCGGCCAGATACGCAATTTCCAGGTGAGTGCTTTACGTCGCATCGCTTTCATCGTGTGCCGTGGCCGATCTTTTTCAATCATCGCGTCATCCTCGAATTTTCCCGTTTATCGCCCGACTTGCGACAAAGGCGGGAAAAGATCGTTACGCCGGGGGCTTATACACGGTCCACTCGGCCACGATAGCGCGCGACCCGACCGTGATTTTCATCTCCGGATTCTCTTCGTTGGGCTCTCATTGTGGTTAAATCATTAAGTTAATGCCAGGCAAAAATCAACTCTCGATAACGTAAGCATTGTGCGGGAGCATAACCGGCCCTGGTGATTAATCGTTGCGTTCCAATGTGCTTTCAACGGCTCCCTTGCACAATGGAACTTTTTAAATGTAAGTCAATAAAAATACTAAACAACGACAAAGCCATTCGAATACTTGATATATCGCGTTCAAAATAAACAAAAAATAGAAAAAAGAAAAAAAAATCCCAACGGGACACTCTAAATTTAATAAAGTATATTCATTTATTATTTATTTTTATTTTTATTTTTTTTTTTTAATTATTCGTTACCGCTGCCATTATTATTAATGGTAATTTTTGTCCGTTTAATCGTGCGTGCAAAATTGGACTTTCTTAATAAGAACGGCAGGAAGTTTAATAGCGGGAGGATTAAAAGATCGTATTGACGATCGGATAGTGTCGTGGCATAATAACGTGGACAGCAAGTTTTGGGAAATAAATGCATGGCTGTAACGCAACGAGAAGGGCATTTTCAAATTTATACTAGTAGTGGATATTCTCTCGAAAGCCATTAAATAACTGCTAAACTAAAAATATGAAAGTACGAAGCGACAAGCGGCCTATATTTCTTGGGTAGTAATTATTACAGGGGTTATATCATTTAATAACAAACTGGTGGTAGAATACGGGCTCGAGATAATATTTTCGAGAGTATACAAGCTATAACCTCGTATCAAATTTACATTCAGTGGAGTGCAAAATTTGGAAATTAGGATAACACTCGCCTCTTCCCACCCCTCCTCCTCCACCTCCTTTTACAGCCAACCCAGCCCCATCAATAGCAACCGAGGCCGGTAGTCCAACCCTTCCGCGATACGGCGTGAACGCCTTCGTGAGATTTGCTTGTTTCCTCTCGTCACGCTTCCTCTATTTCGGCTCCCTTCGGTAATCTCCTACATCCCCCCCCCTTACTCGCTCGGCGGCATTGACTCGCCGGCAAGCGCACGAAAGACTACACAAGCCTTCTTGCACGAAATCGATTGCTTCTTCGCTCGCACCTACCGAGCCGCCAGCACCGACCACATGACCAATCCAGCCCCCCCCCCCATCTCTCTCTCTCTCTCTCTTTCTCTCTTTCTCTTTCTCTCTCTCTCTCTCTCTCTCTCTCTCACTCCCCACCCCATCAAATTCACGCCCGTGCGTGTCTTTCCCAGAAAGTGCAAAGGGGTCACGTAATAAAAGTGAGAGATGAAGAGAGAGACAGAGAGAGAGAGAGAGAGAGAGAGAGAAAGAATGAGAGAGAGAAAAAGTGGGAGCGCACAGCGGGATGAGAAAGGCTAACACAATGGCCCGGGCATTGGGAGAAACCAGCAGAGAGGAAGAAGCAAAGTATCTCAGCTACGATTCCATTTTACCTCCTCACAATCTCACGAGAGCCCCTCATCTACCACAGGCGTACAAAACGTGCACGCGTGGGTGTGACTGCACGCAATATAACTAGGACGGTTCTCTCTCGATTTTTCGTCCCCACGCCACGGCATCACAGCTATCTTTCATTTTCACTCCGGACCGACCGTTACGAGCCTCGTGTATTCAAGAAATGAGACTGCGCGAGAAGAGAAATGACTCCAGATATCTTTTATTAACGCTTCGACGATCTTACAATCTCGAAAACGTTACTAAGGATGAGTGAGAAATGATGAGCAGCCGTTCTGGGCTTAAAGTGCCGTAGCTTGATCAAACACCGATCCCTCGTCAGAAGACAAAAAAAAAAAACAAAAAAGCAAAAAAAAAAAAATACGTTACAAGTACTACGACCAGCTGCCTGTACATTCGATTATTATCCGAAATTCGTCGTCTCCGTGCATCCTAATCAAAATGTCCTCCATAAATTTCCTCCCGAGACTCTCTATCGAGTAGCATTCAAATACACAGGGCATCACAATGAAACACAACGAACCTTCTTAGCTGATTACAAATATCGACGTCTTCCGCTTACCCACCCTCCGAATTCGCTAATCAAGTAAATTTCACAATTCTCGGCTACGTAGCAAAATATTAGATTTACATTAAACTCCCATCATATTTCGCATACCGGAGATTAGCGCTGCGATTATACTCGACTCTATGAAAATTCTTATCTTTCGCATATACGCGATCTTCCGCGTTATCGTGCGCCATCTATGCAAACAACTTCCAACGCACATAAGTGCCCCATACTTTGAGAATCTTATCGTAAAAATCGGCAAATGTCGTATATTAGAATCCCCGGTGGCGTTAAAATTTTTTTGTCCTACGAGCTGGCAATACAACGTCAAAACCATCGGGCCAAACATTTTCCTCCTTTCAGCCTGGAAAATCGAGGAACCGAAAGACGGCCATTAAAAGTATGTGATGTAAAATAGAATAAAAAAGACGAGTCTTCGCTATCGCAACGCGGAAGATGCTTTATCATTAAATACTGGCGCTTAAAGTGGCCGCCGACGCACCGTTAATTAGATAAATGACCGAAATAATGAAAAATTGCGGCCCCCCGACCATGGCATTCTTAAACATAGCCGAGCTCCCGGCGATATTTACAAGACTCGACGACTAGCGAATTCTGCGCTGCCCCGAACGATTAATTTCGCTCCGTCCTTACGAGCCCTACACTTTACCACTTTACTCAGCAGCACGCGCTCCCCCCCCCCCCCCCGCCCTTCCTTCCTTCCGGCCACGGTGAATTATTCGAAAACTCAAATACAGCAACGATTTCTCTTCGAGTAATTATCACTAGCTCGGCCCTGAGAGCGCGTGGTGGGACGGTCGAGGGAGGGGGGTTAGTGGGGCAGAGGGCGGGGAAGACGGAGGGAACTGGGCCGCGGTATATAGTTGGCCAGCTTGTTCGGCTCGCGAGCTGGTGCCCCCGGTGGTACGGCGGTGCGGTAGGGGGTTGCGGGGGTGGGCGAGCGGGCGATCGGGCGATCGGGACAATGGGAGAGCAACATAGATGCAAAAATCGAACAAAGCGCGGCTGGGAGCAGAGGATGGGGAGAAAGGGTAGTCCGACTGCACGCGTGGCCTCGTGTGTTCCCCAGGAGCCGTGCTGTTGGAGCTGCGTTGCCTGTCGCGAGGACGCCTACGTGTTCAACGACTCCTGCCACAGATGCCAGCCGGGTTTCGCCCCGGACGTCACCAAGAGCCGCTGCATCAAGCTCTCGGCTGAGGTCATCTCCTGGACGAATCCCTGGGCGATCGTGCCGCTGGGCTTCGCGGCTATCGGCATCCTCGGCACCATCTTTACCACCGCCATCTTCGTCATGTGAGTGGCTTAGGGTGTGTGTGTGTGTGAGGGGTGACGTGGTGTGGGGCGGTGGGTGGGGTGGGGGGCGGGGGGGCATCGACTTGGCAGCCCTCGCGCCTCAATTGATGGCGCGAGGCTGATGAGGGAGGCGTCGTCACTCGACTCACTCTTACCACCGCTGATTGTGCTGCAATTTTATTCAGCGATAAAGAGCGCGTAATCGGCCGGGGACGACCTCGGATTTAACAATAATGCGAATCAAAATACACTCGTACGGCGCCGTCGGTACTCGATTCGCCGCCATTCTCATCCTACGCGCTTATTATCATCGGACTTTTATTCCACGCCCATTGATTTTCGATTACTCGCGCACGCGAAATATATTATTCCCGAAAAATTGCAATTATACCTAATAAAATTAATGTCGCGCGAGCAATAATAATTGATCGGCATTAATTGATTCGTTAATGTTGTTGCTCGTCTTGTGCCGCTGCCGTTATTATTGCCGTCGTTACTATGCCGTCGTTACTATGCCGTCATCATCGGCATCACTGGCATCGCTGCCATCTACATTATCATCATTCGTTTTTCATCGTCATCGTCCTCATTATTATCATCCCAAATTATTATCACTATTATCACTATTAACACTATTATCGCTATTATTATTGTCGTTGCTATTATCGTTGTTGTTGTTGTTGTTGTTGTTGTTGTTGTTCATTATTTATTGTCATTGTTATTTTCAGCCATCGGTTTCATTATCGCCTTTAATTACGGCCTTATCCTCGATTACATTATTTTTCAGGGCTCGTTTGGCCCCGTAATCATAAACTACCCAAGACCATTGCGGTCGCCGAAAAATAAAACACCTTAACGGCGCGTTAAAAGAGTCGGCTCGAAATTTATTTAGAATAATGCGTAAAATGAGCTGCGAGTGATAGCGCGTGGAGATAAAAATAAAGGGGCTACGGGATGAGCAGCGGGATTGGAAAATGGTACGCTCGAACATGATATTTGATAGTGCACATAATATTGTAATGTACTTTTCAATGTAACTCGCAATTATAATGAAAGGGATTTGTACGCTTTAGTCGCTGTCGTCCGAATATGCGTAATAAATCGAGTGATAGACCGGATGGACGTAGAGCGTATTGGAGCAGTCGTGTGTCGAGTCGTCCGGCTCCTGTGGACGTCGTGTACAGCGTATGCTCGTGTAGAATGTGTATAACGGTTGGCCGTGTGCAGGGGCGCTGGACCGGCATTCGGCAGCGTCACGTCGTTCAATATACGAGACCGAGCGAGCGCCTGTCAGAGACTTGAGCTTGTCCGACCTCGTTTTTATCGTTCTCCTTGATCGATAAATTAGCCGAATTACCTGAAAGAGCCACCTCGGGATGCTACAGCTGATTCTGCTCTCGGGTATTTGGTGAATTTGACAGAGTCGTCTTGATATTTCAATCCAGTCCTCCTCACACTCTGTCGTCGTCTCTATTGTCATCATCATCGTCGTCGTCATCGTCGTCATCGTCTTCATCGTCATCATCGTCATCATCGTTATTATTATTATTATTATTATTATTATTATTATTATTATTATTATTATTATTATTATTATTATTATCATCATCATCATCATCATCATCATCATCATCATCATCATCATCATCATCATCATCATCATCATCATCATCATCATCATCATCATCATCATCATCATCATCATCATTATTATCATCATTATTATTATCATTATTATCATTATTATTGTTATTGTTATTATTATTATTATTATTATTATCTTTATTGTTGCTGTTGTTATTTATTATTAATTATTATTGTCACTATTCGATAATCTGCTCACTATAATACAGACTGATTGGATTCGCTCCGATCCTCGCACGCTTCATTCAACGGGCCACTTTCCTTGGCGCATTTCACCGTTAAGACCTTTCCGCGATCTTCTGCCCTACTTAACTCATTGCATTTAATATAAGTGGGTCACTTTCGTTCGATTCGTGACAATCTGCCGACGTCTTTTCGTCTATTCGACTATCTTTCTTCGACTTTCAAACTCTCTATTTTACGCGATCAAGGAATGTGTTTCTGATTTATTTGCTGATTTAATACGGACAGTTTATTGTGGAAAATGGGACCCATGATTGGTGATTACGCTACCGTCCCAACGTATTTGAGATATCACTTCGTTACATTGTATTCTATTTTTATAAATGGAGTAAAGTAGCCATATTTATTTCGCATTGTAAACGTAAAAAAAAAATAAAATAAAATAAATAACAAAACAAAACAAAGAAAATGGATGGTGGAGAAGGGGGAGCGAGGGGAAATTGTACTATTGGGGGAATACGGAAATGAATAAACTCTATGGATTTCGAAGTTTTCGATGGAACGGCAGTCTCGAAGGAAGAAATAATATCGTACGTAAGAAATAAGAATTATTATGCCAATATTATATATCGTGTACTAGGTACATAACGCCGTGTACATACGCGCATTGATCTTTACATTTATTGCTGAATCGTGTGCAATATAATATCAGTTGCACTCTATCGTGAACGGCAACCATTGATTATTTTCCCGTTTTTATATACTAATCGAAGTGAAATAAACGTGTTTGTAAGAGACAATGATAAATAGCACATCATCAACTATCGTATGCCTTGCTCTGATAACCAAAGGCGATATCAATCACAAACGACATGTACATATAAAGAGGTTATTTTGTGATCACATTTATAACAGATACGTTTGGAATTGTAGCATATGTTGCATATTATGTAAATCAAACTGTATACACATAGAATAAATTGAAGGGAGAATAAAGATTTTCTTTCCATTAGATAGGATTGTACATGCAATATGGTACTTTTTAAAACGATTATTATAAATCGTGTACTCACAAAAAACTATCGATATGAAATTTTTATTCTTTGGGAAAGATTGATTTCTTCGCAGCAGCTAAGCATTCGATGAAGAATTCGTATTATCCATTATGTATTAAAGAGTCTTATAAATATTATAAGCAGCAATGTGTTGTGGGTGACAGACATAATAAAGTATGATAATTTCACTATGGAATAATCTCTCTGACGGCTCAATAGATTTTGCTCAAGCAATATAATCATTATTAATGAATTTCAATGAAAGATTTTTCACTATAATCGATATGTTGTTTCATCGATAAAGTATAAATTTCATTTTATAGTCTATCACGATATTTACAATAATATCAAAGTTGGCTTGAGCTCAACTAACGGACTTTCTTTTTGTTCGTTTATTCTGTCTTTTACGAAAATTTTTCACCCTTTACAAAACTTTGCAATCTATTGTGAAAAAACTAATCTATTGAATAATAATTTTCAAATGTCGATTGTCGTATCGTAACATTAGACCCGAGCATTCCTTACAATTAATTAACACGGCTGGATGCAAAGTTCCAAAGGTATAAAAAAATCTTTCTCTAAAAGAAACATCGATCGAACGTATGAAGTACGATCTAGAACGAGCTAATGTTTTCACTTCAACGCTTTGTACTACCAATTTATTCGTCTCAATGAGTCATAGAGTCGAGCGATTGACACTAACCTCGTTGCAAACATAAATAGACAACCGCATAGAGTACTTCTCAATACACGTAATGGAGAGGAATTATAAATATATGATAATACACTTTCTAGAAGAATCAAAAAATGTATACAATCGTTTAAAATAGAAAGAATCTTAATCGGTTCATTCGAGATGTACTAACTCCAAGGAATAAAAATAAAAGTAATGGCATGTTGGAGAATTACGTATAAGCGCTCACTGTAAAATGTTCTTGTTACTCTTTTTTATGATACCATATTAAATGACGAACAATGATCCGACAAATGAAGCAAGTAAAGTGTGAATTTCTGTACTCATTAATGTGAATATCATTAAATAAACATTTTTTCAGAAATTAACTATAATTGGTTAATTATAATGAATTATCAGTATGATAACGTTGATATATTATACTGTTAATAAAAATACGACTACGCGTAGACGGATTTCTCTCTCTCTCTCTCTCTCTCTCTCTCTCTCTCTCTCCCTCTCTCTTGAAGGAAAAACTTGTTGAAAAAAAAAAAAAAAAAAGGAAAATGACAGTAATAAAATAACGACATTTGATTAAAAATTTATTATAACTTCGATAACGAGAAAATCTCGGTAAATTATACTTGCAAATATATAAAATAATCTTTATAGCTGTAAATAGAGGAAAAAATCAGAATGCAAATAATCTGAAAATATGAAAAAGGTCTTAAGTTAATGACATTTATAAGAAAACTTGGAATCTGTAACATTAGTTGCCGAACATTTTTTATTAATCTAGATTATTTATTACGATATTTTAATGTTTAAATCATTATTCGCTGGCCATTATAAACGACTTATTTACGAGATTGTTTTTCGAATGTTCGCGTGCTTATCGACGATCATAGCAACTCGAACTTTTTAGCTGCTGGACCACATAATGAAGTTGCCATCAATGCAATTGATGTCATTTCGATATTACTCGATATTTTAAATAAAATTCAAATATATATATATATATATATATATATACATATATTTTTTTCATACGACAACAGTCAAAATAAAATTATATATATATATATATATATATATTACACAAATTTCATAAAATACAAGGATCAAAAAAGGGTTCAAAAGTTTTCCAAGCCTTGAGTCGAATAATTATGTAATTCATCTTCTCGTTGAAACAAGTAGAGGAACAATAGACCAATCCAGCTAATTCTAGCGTCTGCATTAGCTGCAGGGCAAACCTTGTTGTGAATGGAAACTGACTGCAGCCAAGAAAGTCTTGTGCATTTAAACGCGATACATTTGAGCGGGACACACATTGGTTGTGACAGAAACGCGATGTTCAAATAAGACTCGAGCTTTAATAATAATAATTAGCCGAGGAATGTAGAGTTTGCTCGAGCCGTACGGCTTCCATCTAACAAACCAACTAATTTATATAAAGGCGTATGAAAGCGTAGAGGGTCGGGAGGTTGGGCCCGACGAATGAGGGAACGAGAGGTCGTAAGAGGGCGAGGAAGAGTAACGAGTTGGTACAATAATCTAATTGGTTCGCTCGAGCACAGATTCAACCGCACCCCGGTGATAATGGCCTCGGGACGCGAGCTGTGCTACGTCCTCCTCGTCGGCATCCTCTCGTGTTACCTCATGAGCTTCGTGATACTGAGCCGACCGACCAAGTGGAACTGCACCTGCCTGAGGATCGGCCTCGGACTCTGTCTGAGCCTCTGCTACAGCGCCATACTAACCAAGACCAACCGCATATCAAGGATATTCAATCAGGGCAGGAAGAGCATCAAGCGGCCCTCTTACACATCGCCCAAGAGCCAAGTTGCCATCTCTGTCGGTAAGTGTTGCACCGCTGGAGTCTCAGCGATGCCCAGTGGACGAAAACGTACTTTCAATTATCCCTTATCCGTTGAACATTAGCAGACCGAGCATTATCTTATCCTCGTCTAAATAAATCGATGCGATTTAAGAATGGGGAAAAGGTAGGAGGGGGCACCGTTTTTTCAACTACTTTACGCGACTTTACAATAAGCATTCCGATAACTCTCCCTCGTATATAATTAGAATATGCTAATCATCTTGCTTGGTGGAGCAGAAGATAAAGAGATATGAGGCGTATAGCCTATAGGGCCAGCAGCCACATTGTCTTGCATTTAATTTCGATCTGGTTTAAATTTTGATGGGGTGGTAGGGATAGGAAGGATTGGAATTGCGATAATGGGTAGGGGTAAGTGGGAAGGGGGAGGAGATATGCGTGAGATATTCGCTAGGAAGGTGTGATATTTTTATTTCTATTTCATCTTTTTGTTAATAGTAATTGTGTTGTAAAGTGTAGAACGTGTATAGAATTGATAGAAACTTCATTTCTCATCTTAATAATCTACATTTTACAGCCATTTTATAACGACAATATGCAGTAAACTTTATAAATTATAATCTTTTATTATCAGAATAATATCTGCATTAAAATAAATATTATTCAGACATGGAAGCGTTAGATAAAATTTTATTCGCGTGAAAAATAACAATGATAAAGTAAATAAATTATTCACATGATCGAGATAAAGTTCTTATAGAAAACTCTACTAGCAAAAACGGCATCATAAATAATATTCAAGCATATACATGTCAAAATAATGTTTAAAGGTTGTAATATAAGAACAAAGTTAAAGAATACGGCAAGTTACATGAAATTGATTCTGCTTCTTTATAACGTGAAAATATCTGTGTTCTTTTATTATTTTTCTTATATCGTGCATAAAAATTCACGTGAAAATAGTGAAAATTCTATTGTAAATTTGTCATTAATATAATTGAATATGTTGAATAAAACAAAATCAAAAGTAACGTAATTTACATGGACGTATCATAGTTATAAATCATTCCATATCATAATATTTTAAATAATTGCATTCGGATACACGAAAACATTATCATTCTAACATTCGTAGAAATTTTGCTCCGCAGCATTTGAATTTAAATACAAACCTTAATTTTTCATTAATTTATTATTCATATATTTTTCATAAATTCATTAATTTAATCTTAAAGCTCGTCTGTAAAATTCTATACGAAATAATACATAATTTAAAATTTTCTTAACTCAATATTATTTAATGTTTATTTAAGTTCTTGCTCGTATCAAGATAAAATATTGAAATTTCAATGGAAAAAAGGTATATTTTAAGTCAAGTGCAATTATATTATAATTTCGATATTCAAATAAACATATTTTATGTATATGCGCGTGCGTGCGTGCGTGCGTGCGTGTGTGTGTGTTTGTACACTTTATTATTCACAATAATTAAAATAATTTATTTAATTGACAGTTATTTATAATTATTACGTAGATTTCATATTACTAATTTGAAATATATTATGTACATAGTATGCTTGTAAATATTATAAGCTTAATAAAGCTTTTTTTTTGACTTATTACGGATACGTCATTTGTTATTAATAGTAAATTCAGTAGCCTGTAAACTCTGAACTTCTATCTGATTCTCCTGTACTTGTACGAATAAAGATATCCAACAAAATATTTAATACAAAAATAACGGAGAAAAGTTATGTAATGAATTTAAGAATACATGCTGAAAGTTTCATCGTTGCCCATTGAAATTCCAAGTAGAAGTAGAACTTCGGCAATTCAAAAAATAAGTTTTCCGCCGCAGTAATTCAAAAATACGATATCGTCTATAAATCAAGTTAAAAAAATAATACAATACAAAATATTTCGCAGTTGGATTAATTTTTCAGTGACGTCTCATCAGGCGGAATTTCGCGCTCCTACAAAATGAATGAGCCAACATAACCATAACTTAACAGACCGGATAGTTATGATTATCGTGCATTCGAGTGCAATTAATGCACTTGAAAATATAATATGCTTATTGCTTGGTCAAAAGCGGACGATCAACCCCCCCCCCCCTCCCTGCCGCGTTCAGTTCCCCTTCCATCCGCCGCGTCCCTCATCATCATGGAGATGCGCGTTCGTCAATAGGGAGTCGTATTAATATAAAAATTCGTGATACTTTGCCGAATCAATCAAAAGCTCCTCCCGTTCCTTAAGCTGTGACACTCGACGAAGAAAAAGTCTTTGGAACAGCTCGACTGTACTTTCATTTCTCATCCACCTGCCCCCTCATCCCCACAATCCACACGGAATTCCATCGTATTATTTGAGCGCGATCAATCATTGGCGAAAAAAAAAACTCCAAGCCAATGCTCTCTCGTCCCCCCCCCCCCCCCCCCACCCCCCCCCCCCCCCCCCCCCACCCCCACCCCAACCCAATCGCAACGCGCCCAATACGACTTTTAAGCTCCGAGTCCGACTCCTACCGGGGACACTTGTCGGGTCCCCTCGGGGGTGCCGTTACCCCCATCTCAAACCATCGTACATCACAGCCGTCCGCAGGCATCACCTCGGTCCAGCTCGTCGGCGCCATTATCTGGTTGATAATCGAGCCGCCGGCCATCAGCGAGATCTACCCCTACCCACTTACGGCGGTCCTCACCTGCCGCGTCTCGACTTTCGCCCTCATGATGTCCCTCGTCTACAACATGCTGCTCATCCTCATGTGTACCCTCTACGCCTTCAAGACGCGCAAGATACCGGAGAATTTCAACGAGGCCAAGTACATCGGCTTCACCATGTACTCCACCTGTATCGTCTGGCTCGCCTTCATACCCATTTACTTCGGCACCAACAACGATTATAAGGTAACGCACTTTGGACACGGCCCCGTCACCCACATATCCAACTCCGTAAAACGCGATGTTTTATGCTTGCCTGTCATTTGTAATTAGCCGCGTGAGCGGAAAATGGAGGCGATATTGCCGAGGGAGCCGAGGGTAATGGGGAATGCTCCGATGGCCGTTTAATTATACTTTGTTTCGCCCGCGACTAACGTTACAAATTTAAACGCTGAAATTGAAAGTCCTTTTACCGGTGTACGTCGCTACGAATCTCTGCTGGCTGAGCCGAAATATAATTATTTTCCGATTACTACTAACGGCCTAATTAGTCTCGTATTTTGAGAAAATAAAAATATCGAGTATAAAATCTAATCTCGTGTATTGTAATTTCTTAAATTATCGATTGATTGGCGCTAATATGCTTTATAAGGAGAATATAGGACCGAAAAATTTGTGCTAATTAGTGAAAATACGCGAATTTTTAGCGACTACCGACACTTACATGATGAAAGTACTCACAAAATATTAGCGATTAAATATATTTAATTTCACGCAATACTAACTAACGACGCGAATATGCAACAGAAATAAAATAATAATATAAATAAAATAAAAAATTTTTAAGCAATTCGTGTTAGATGTTTAGCTATCGTTAGAATTTTTTTATTACTGCAAAGAAAAATATTTTATCAATGATACATATATCTAATCCTACATAATAAATATTAATTTACAGTTTTTATTATGAGAATTCGTATTAAAGGGAATATCTGTTAAAATGTAAACTTACATAAATGAACTGGAAGCTGATCGCAAATGACTAATATTCAATTAAAGAAGTAAATTAATGTTTAATTAATGCATGTATTTGTAATTATATCTTCTAATTTTGTTGATTAATTTTTATCAAAATCAATGTAAATATTATTATTACTACAAGTTGCCTCTATTCAGCCCTATAACATTGGCCATTATTATGGTTCGATAAATAAATATTTATTAATTAATTAATTAATTAATAAGTATATATATAAATTATATATATATATATATATATATATATATAAATAAATATAAATTATATATAATAATAGTTTAAATATTTTTAAATACGTAACGATCATTTGTTATAATGCTTCTAAATAAATTACAAGTATCTGCTAATTAGGCTCATTCTAAAAATAATTAAGTTCACAATCTAAAGTAATAATAAGAAACCTTTTAAAATATATCTATTCAACGAAGTGATTTTTTTCTTCTTTTATTTTCCCCCTCCCCCTTTCTCACAATCTATGCATCTCTATCATTATCTTCATCCCTCTTCTCCCTCTCTCTCTCTCTCTCTCTCTCTCTCTCTCTCTCTCTCTCTGATTCACTCACTCTCTCCTCTCTCTTTTTTTAACGTCAGTAATTTATCCATTATATTTATTTATTACACAAACATATTATTACGTATATTCCAAACTATTTATAAGTTTGATCATGAAATTATTATCGATAACGAAATATGTATTATAATTAGATTGTATTTCATGCTAATTACATATTTTCATTAACTTAAGTATCAATAAACATTTTCCAGTTGATTATAATGCAAAATTCATATTTAATTATTAAATTATCTTATTCAATACGTTCAATACAAATTATAAGTGAAACATTCAAAATATAAAGCATATGTCAGCGTTACAGTGTATCTTAATTAATGATTTTATAATAATGTACGTATAATTATTTCAGAATGGCATCTAAAACTTAATTTTTCATCGTTACTGATATCCCTCTTATCATATTCTAAAATAATAAGCAAAATAAATATTATAGAGATATAATATACATATCGTTAGCAAGAATAATAATTTACGTGAATTCAACTCTTGCAATTACGCATTGAATTCATCATGAAATATGAATAATTTTCTGAATTATTATCTTCTTAGTATAGCTTTAGGTATATTTCGTTTAAATATTTATTACTTATAGCTTCGTTTGAACGAGTATACTTAATAAAATGAAAAATAACAAATTTCAGTAAAAAAAAAAAAAAAAAAAAAAAATTCCATCTAGAAAAACGTTTGGAGTAGAGAAACGTAAATACACAATTATGTCTATTTTTATTTATTAAATTAAAATTGATTGGCCGAGACAATTTATTTTCAATGGAAATGTTTTATCAGGTTTCGATATATTCTTCTTGTACTGGTTTTTGAATCGAGTCATTAGTTAAAGACTTGGCGTACAAAATATTTACATATTAATAATATATTTTGCAAAAAAATCTTCGCAGTCTAATAATAATATAAACAATAATAACAATAGTAGAAATAATAATCGATAATGAGCAATCATAATGAAATTAATTAGCCGATCGATCGTAATTGCATTAAAATAGCACAATAATTTTTATTCGAACTTTCATTCTTGATTAATATTAATATTTTATTGCTTAATTATTTCCATCTATAATATTGATAATCAAAATTCCAACATGATAAAACATAATTAATAAGCGAAATCATCATTTGCTGAAATCAAGAATTAATAGTAAATGTTTTGTAAATTTGTGTTTTGAAATATCATTTGTTTCAAGATACAATTCATTGAATAGTAGTGAATAGTAATTTATCGAATGAATGATCTGTCATCAGTCAATGTCTAGAACTTTATTTTTTTTATATAAACAAGATATTTAAATTGACAATTAATGATCGGTAAATAATAAATAAATTACTAAAATCTTATGTAAATATCGGACGATATCATTTTAAAGCATAAATGTTCGGCTCGATAACTTAACCCGATAACGTAATCTCATGATTATCACTATCGCCCCGATAATTTAAAAATGTTTAATAATAACTATAATCTTTATTCGATATTTGAATTCCATTCAAGATTAAATTTCGATATTTTCGAAATTATTGACTATGAATCTTGGGGTTTTTTTTTTCTTTTAAAATAAATTAGGAATGATGAGCTATTAAACTAGATATCAATCACTATCAAAACGTCGAAAAATTTACATTTCATTCAGCGTCCTGGGACAGCAGCTATCTTTACTTTATTTCATCTTAAATTTAGATTAACAAAAAGTCGCAAGAAGTTTCAATTGATATTAATTCTCATGGAATTAAATTTAAATTTCATTTTTTTAATATTGAATGCTCGTAAATTTTATGCTATGTGCTACGTTTAAATAATAATCCGTGCATCGAAATATACATATTGATGATATGAAAATAAAAAGCTCTTTTTTTCAGAATTTCAGAATGCTCATCTTAAAAGGGAAATTTAAATTGACATTGAATATTCTTGTGGTCTATTTTTTATCGCGGTGCATCATTTTGTACGTTAATTAATTTTTTAAAATGTCAGAAAGACGAATATAGTCGATATTGAAAATTAGTCTTTAACATATTTAAAATTCAACGGATAAAATTAGCATTTGAACAATTTGACTAATATTAAAATATTAAGCAAAAAAAAAAAAAAAAGGTAAAAAGAAGTAAATAAATGAAAATTTAATTCAAACTTATAAATCCTGGCATTCCTCTAAATAATATATAATCAAATCAATTTATCTTCTTATATTCGCACAATAAACATACTTGAATGGCTTGATTAACCATTGCGAAGATAATGTGATTATTTCGGTAAAAAGAAAATTCAATTTTATGAAATATTGACAGTAAAAATAGTTTGAAAAATAAAGTTAAACGTCAAATTATTAATCAATTGTAAGATTAATGTAACTTTTCTACTTATTCATTTGACTTTCCAATTAAATATCATTGAATTCACTTAGTTATTGAAAATGTTAACAGCTATAAATCTTCTTAATTAAAACTATGAATTAACAAAGAAAGTTTGTGAAAATCGATAAACAGTGAATTTAAATAAGAATAGCCGTTATTGCGTTCGTACAAAAAAGAAAGCATCCCCTAAAAGTTTATGTGCATTTTCCTAAAAATTTCCCCCTCTATGCAGCAGAAGCTTTTGTTGAACCAAAATATAAAATATTCAATTAATTGTCCAGAAACATTTAAAGTACCATCGATGTTGATGTCGAATTACGTATGTTTCGGGACTTAATCCTTCGGTATAATTCAGCTCTACTCGCCAAATACAAAATTTCAATAAATTTTTAAGTGGAGCATTAATTAACAACCTCGGTGTTAATCCATGATTTTATGTTGCGGGCGCAAATTAAATATTAAATTGACGAACGCGTACGTTAGTCCAATTTTAATTTGCATACAAACACTTTGCGCACACGACAACTTGACTTTTCATTTTGTAGAGCTAAGCTCGTGAGCACGTATTTTCCCAGGATAAATAGGGAGCTGGGGCTGGCAATATCGGCGACTCGCGTCGGTGTCCAGTTCCGCGTCTATCCATACGTTAACCAGATTTGCCTCTGTTTTCTCCAACTTGCAGATCCAGATAGCGAGCATGTGTATGTGCATCAACATCTCGGCGACGGTCGCCCTGGGCTGCCTTTTCACACCCAAGGTCTACATCGTGCTCTTCCAACCTTATAAGAACATCCGACCTGGCACCAACGTAAGTCAAAACCCATACATGCACGATGAGAGGCTCGAATATCGTAAATCGAACGAATCACTGCTGTCTGACTGCGCTCAAAAATAAAGTTTGCGCGTTGATAAAAGTTATGGAAAAACTTTCCTATAGTTCCTCGTAAGCTAGTGCTAGGTTGGTCAGAACTATAAAGTTTTTATTTGGGATGGTGCAGCGGTAATGTGGTTGCTACCGGAGAACCGCGTAAACTTGTTAAGCGAATCACGACAATATTATGGGGATATTTTTCATATTACGTCGCGGCAAATTCAATTCGACAAATATGCAATTTTCATTTTTTGTTATTTACTTTTTCGTTTACTTGTTTTTTTTTTGTTTTTTGTTTTTTGTTTTTTGTTTTTTTTTGTTTTTTTTTTCTTGTTTGCTTGTCCTTGATTTTGTTTATGTTTGTTAGCAATACGATGCCGATGGACTCGCAGGAGATATAAAAAATTTATGAATCCAAATAAAAGATATACGATGATGAGAATCGCAAATAAATTTCTATTCCGTGTTGAAGTTTCGTTTTTCGCTTAGATTAGCCGGCTATTCTCTGCCATATTTTCACATAAAAGAATAATAAACGAGTTTCTCGCAAAACTGAAAAATAAATTTACAACCTCTTGTATGGCGAAACGGTCAAGGACTTCGTATAACGCTAACTTTCTATGGCATATCAGAAAAAATTTACTTAAAGAGTTGAGCTTCGGCGTCACCGAAACTTTCTAACCTAATAGATACGACATTACCGAGCACGTATAATTTAAAACTATCTGCTGGCATAAATTTCAGGAATAGTTGGCTAGTTTTTATCGTGAATGAAGAAACTTAAAAAATGAATAGATGACGAAGCAATTGGATCGCGAGTAGACAAGCTGTACGCATGGTCAGCCTTAACTTTTTAAGGTGCTATCATCTTTTAAAATTTTGTTCATTACGAAGGCTTATGCCGCGTGGTTATATTAAAAATACTGCATAAAAATATAGTTTTTACTGCAAATTATCTTTTATGGCCCTTTTTTCATATCGTAAAAACAGAAGTTTGCTCTTACATAAATTAGCATTTGAAAAAAAGCATTTCAACCAATTTTCCACATATTTCACAAGAATATCAGAATTGATTTATCGATATCACGATTGCATAAAATGAAGGGGAACTAATCCAGTGCACACAAAAAGAAAAATACTTTCTTATATCATGTTTATCTTGAAATTCGATTTTTATGCAGATACGAAGTTAACATGGTAATCACGTCGGTGACACATTTTTTAAATACACGTTTAAAAATGTGAAATATAATTGAAAAATGAATTAAACAAAATCTTTTTTTGTCACCTTAATGACGGACGTAAAAAAAAATATGTATATATATATATATATATATATATATATATATATATAGATATAATGAAAAATTAAAATATTCTTTGAATTGAATTTCAGATGCGCCTCGCTACTCCGTGAAAATTTTCACTCAACTTTACGTTATTCTTAAATTTTATTATACCGAGTATTCGTTATTTTAAAGATTTTGTTACCATTTTACGAATTAACAAATAATGAGTTTATTGATATTGTACATATTGCCAAAGATATAAGCATTAGCCGCCGCCGCTGTTATTTCAGGAATGAATATAAGACTTAAGCTTTTTACAATGGAACAACGGCTTCCTTGAATAAATGTTTAATTATACGATTATATACGCTTAAAATACGTCAATTTTCAATAAAACTTGGAAAAATATAAATGAGATATTAAGTATGAAGTTTAAACACATATCCACTCCTTTTCATACACTCGTAAGGAACGGCCATAGCAATCCGCGTAAAAGTAAGATTACAAACTATGCAAATCAGCAGCTTTGTTATTCATAAAAATTTATCCAATTTGTAAATGTTAATATTAGTTTTATTTTAATAAATCTAACGAGTTTTATTATATCTCATAAAATCATAATGTTTAAATATTTGAAAATCTGAACGTCTCCTTGTAAAAGGATAAAGAATATTTTTCGTCAAGTGAAGCGTTTTATCCTCTATCTTAGGCATTTCATTATCACAATGTTACATTTGCAAAAATATTTATCAAACATGCGTTCTTCGGGACTTTTAAATCATTTATATCTCGCACCTAGTGTTGCTCGTTAATTTATTTTCTTTTAGTTTAGTTTAATACATTGGTACATTTGACTTTATTTTTATTATTTCTTTTTCTTCTTCTTCATTCTTTTTTTTAATTATGAAGAATTTATTCTTTATTATTCTTTTGGAATATTGTATTTTCATTGTAGCTAACTCTTAGAATACATAAGCTGGCAGCGAATGAAAATCAGTTATGTTATCTTCTCCCAAGTGGCAAAAAAAAAAAAAAAAAAAAAAAAAAAAAAAAAAACAACAACTGTCATTCGCGAAACTTAACTTACAATATCAAAGTACGTTAAAAATTTCAAAGAATAAAGTAATAAAACAACAAAAACAAAAAAAAAATAGGAAAATAGCTTTTAATGCTTTCCTAATAACTACATTATTTACTAGAATTGATGCGAGCAAAAGGAAAAGAGAAACGTCAAGTTCTTTCTTCTTTCGGAGATATTTAATGAAAGTCAAGCTAATGAAATACTCGAGCGAAATTCGCATTTAAATATCTTTTCAACGTCTCAATTATCCACTCGATGGTAACATAAAACTTCGGTCCGAATAACACCAGCTGCATCCGAGATCTCGTTCAACTAGCAACGAAGCATCGTCCTAACTCAACGCTGGCCACATAATTCCTAATGACACGGACGAGCTGCCAACTTTTTCAAAACTTAATATCCTTATTATTTACCTACTAGGCGCATAGATAAATTAAAGAACACGAGCCCCTTACCATCCGGCAACGCAATTACCTTCCTTCCCGCGTCGCATTCGCATTATTAAAGCCCGAAGCACGAACGCGACGCCCATGATTGGCAAGCACGCGGTAATTCTTATTTGCTCGGCAACAACAATATAATCCGACTCGCACCAGCCGAGTCGACCTTCTGTTTTCAAAGCTTATTCCCCCGTCTCATTCGAAGCCGACCTGAAAAAGCATTCGTGCGCAATCCCAATAGGCCGCAGCAAAAGCGGCGCCGAGCACACGCCGTCGATAATCGGAACGGGTCGGGCGAGGGTAGCGGCTCGTTATAGTCGCCCTTGGCCCCGCGTCCCCCAGCGTCGACGGCGGATCGGCGGACACTGACTTGTTGACCCGCGTAAACAGCCCAACATTTTCTCCCTTTGCCCGCGCAATAACAGCAAAGTGGCGGCCAGTCGACGGCCGCTTGCCGCCAGGGCTACAGCATGCGATTCTCGGCGGCGCGAAGCCAGACGATGCAGAGCGTCACCTCGGGCTCCCGTAGCTCGCCGCCCCCTAGTGCTGGGCCAACGTCGACCACAACGGCTACGTCGACTACGACGGCTACGGCGACGACGACGACGACGGCGACGACGACGACAACGACAACGGCGACGACGACGACGACGACGACGACTGCGAGAATGACCACGGCGACGACCTCATCGGGAATCTGCCAGCCACCGAGGCCGAAGCACGCGTCGACCAATGGGGAGCCGCAGCTGCGCAACCAGGTAAGGATGTAGTCCGAGTGTCGCCAAACATCCAATTATACCGGCCACCGATTACGTATTCCATTCATTCATTTTAAAGACAAACGTATAATTCCCTCCTGATTATAAAATAAAGATTAAGCGCTAAGAAACTTTGATTTTACATATTCTGAATTTAAAGGGCTGGAATGGATTGTCGCGGCACTAATAACGTAAAAAATACTCTTTGGACAAGTCGTTCGATCGCTTAAGTGAAAGAATCGCTGGGCTCCGTTTGTAGAGTTAGCCGCGAGAGCGCGAAGGATTAATTAAAAAGTTATTTTCGATATGCTTGCTGATGTCGACGTGCGAGCCTATGACGTGAAAGCCATTGACGGCCTCTAGTTGCGCGGTAAATAAAGTGACCTCGACTACATTGAATAAAATCCTTGCTTGAAATCGAGTGTCTCGTTGCGCTTACGCAAAGCCATCTTTCACTCGCTTTATTTATTTATGCGCTGAATTTATGTCTGGAGTTTGCGTTTGCGTTAGCGATAATGCAAAATATCACCAACGTCCTAGACAAATGGGCGCGGCGAGCGATGAGTCGCGGCTTTAGAATAAGCAATTATCGACATCGACGTCAATAACTAATGGCAAAATTCAACCAACTTGCATTTATCGTTACGTCATTTGTTCGCCCGCTACTTTCTTCCCTCCCGGTAAATTGCCGGTTTTATTAAAAGAAAAATTAATTCAATGCCTCGCTTAGTGCTTTAATGACTTTATTTACCCGGGCAGATGTTTATTAAGGGTTTAATAGCGCGCGAGGGTACATCCGGCATTCTTGACTTCTCACGGTCCTTTCACGAGACAAATATCAAAATTCTCCTCAAAACAGCCGTCAAAAGGAATCTTACTTGCCCGCTGATGTATCGTCGCAGCCTCAAAGGTGACAGAGGCAGCAAATTACTCGCAAATTACTTATCGCCTTTTAGAGCCAGTGACGTAAGATCGACTCGACGACTAGAGCGGTTATTGATAAACAACTTTCCCGTGGAGTATTGGATTTAACGGGACGTCAACATCGCGAATACTTGAAAGCTATTCTCGAGGCACATTGTCAACTAATTTTCAAAAAGGGCTGGCGATGCTCGCAACGCTTAACAACTTTTAATAAAAATTCCAAAGCGGCATCCCCCGAAACGTGCCCGCGTATCGCGCGAGAAAGAGGATCGACAAAAAAGCGCGCAAAATATTCTCGAAGAATGCACTCTCCAAGCGAAGAGTTAGAGTTCGTCCGAAATTAAGAACCCGCGTTGACTACCCTCGAGGAATCGGCCTCCCTACGGTGTCGACTCATAGACCTAAAGTCCCGACTTGTGTTCAGCTGGAGCTGACGGGCGAGCCCGCGAGCCTCGGTTTGGACGAGAGCTCGCTCAGCTAGGTGGCGCTGGTGCACCTGGATCAGGTGCGGCCCAAGGGCCCGACGTAGCAT